CACAATTTAAACAGGCAATCCGATTAGTAGACGGCAGCAGACGCGCCACTGGTGTCTACTGCGAGCCATGTCCTGTAAAGTCTCGAGCCAAACACAAGGCGAGTCACGTGGACTCCAGCCCGGAAGGCGAGACGGACCAACGGCACCCAGTTTGATCGACAGTGACTTCATTTCCCGCTGCCAAGTCAAATTCTGTCCACCTCGAGCCTTGCGCCATCCTACGCCTGGGAGACTGAAAAGACCCTCCTAGGTAAGCGGTGACCAGGCATATGTAGCACGTGACCGAGCCAACGCCACTTATTCAGTGCTATCTGTTGCTCTAGGGAGCTAGCATGATTATCACCACCTAGTACTCGCCTATGCACATCATCGTTGCGGACACGCTGGTGTCATCCGACACCAGCAGTGCTTCGCAGACAACGATGATCAAAGACTTGAAAGCGCCTCAGATCTTCAGACCGAAGGGGCCAATTCTCACTACCATAGGGCAGAACGGCCCTCACTGTGTCCTTGTATACACGACCTTTCAGACGGAGGGAGATTCCCTTCTGTCGCCAAAGATGCCGCAGGTTCAAGAAGGCAGCTCTGGTCTTTGCAATGCGTGAGCTGACGTCAGTTTCTATGCGCCCATCATTTCTGATGCAGCTGCCAAGATAAGTGAATTGATCAACCACCTCGAGTTCCTCGTTAGCAAGCGTCAAGAGGTCATCAAGTGGCTGGTGGTCCTGCAGCCACACTTTGCACTTTGAAGATGCTAAGTGCATACCGAATAATGGAACCACAATGGACAGACTATTCAGGGTTGACTGGGCCACTCCAACATCGTCGAAAAGCAAGACGATATCGTCCGCATAATCTAGATCAACTAACCTTTCACCAGGCACCACTTCAACGCATACATCGTGTGATTCCGCAAGGGAACACTCCATGATAGAATCCACGACGAAATTAAAAAAATGGGGAAATCGGACAACCCTGACGGACGCCACTTGTGGTCGAAAGCTATCCGATAGGACATCATAGACCCTGACGCGGCCTGTAGTGTTCGAGTATAAAACACAAAGGACGTTCACGTATTTCATGGGAACACCTTTTTGCGCAAGTATTTCGAACAGAATCGATTGATCGATTGAATCGAACGAACTCATGAAATCGAGGAACACAGCTATTGTCGGTCTGCGGTATGCGTGGCGCTGTCCTAGCACCTGCCGCAAAGTGAATATATGGTTTATACAGCCACGTCCTGAGCGGAAACCAGCCTGCTCTTCCCTAACGCAAGATTCCCCTTCCGCAGTGAGGCGACGAACAAAACTCGAGGCCAGTAATTTTGTCAGAACTGGCGTTAGGATAATACCCCTGTGGTTAGAACAGTCTGTGCGACTGCCCTGCTTGTATATTGCTACTATAATCGATTCACTCCAATTAGCCGGGACACTCTTCCTTCCAGATACGTTCGAGTAGGGAGGTCAGTGCTCTGTAGAGGACTTCACCTCCATCCTTAAATAGTGCAGGTGGGAGGGAATCCGGGCCAGCGGCATGGAAACGATTGAGCGCGGTGATCGCGTTTCGGACCTCGACCTCCGACGGAGGCTCTAAACTAACCGTCCATGGCTAGTCCTGCATTACCTGAGTAGGAAGAGGTCCGGGAGCAAGGGGCCAGCTGAACTGATCTTGAAAGTGTTCCGCCCAACGAGCCATACGGCGCTCTTTATTGTGTATCAACACACCCGCGCTGTCTCTGATTGTCTCACTGGCGCCTGGTTTTCTGGGACCAGTGGTGCGGATTAGCTGGAAGAGCTTGCGGTAATTGCCTACTGCTCCTGCTTCCTCCATTTCTTGAGCTTTACTGTTCCACCGAGCTTCCTTGTCAGCACGTTGGCTCTGCTTTAGTTTACGCCTAATAGTCCGTCAGGTCACATTGT